AAGGATTTCCAAAGTTTGATTCCTTCTAGAATGAGGCGACAAACAAAACTTGTGGTTTCATGCAAAGATGTACTGAAGGTAAAGCCATATATTATGGTCTATACTAAGGAACGTGACGAAGATTAAGAAAGTATGGTTTCTTCGTATCATGTTATTGTACAATGCAAGAATGGTGTTCCATCTTCAATGGAGGATAATGCAGAATTGGAGGATGTTTCACCGTGTTATCACATATCCTTCAACGATGGGGACCCTCAAGAAGATGAAGATGCAAAAGATGTTCCACCTGAACTTGAAGAAGGAGTGAAGACTACATTTGATGCCTTAAAAGAAGTTAACCTTGGCACCGATGAAGAACCAAGACCCACCTACCTAAATGCTTTACTAGAAGTGGATGAAGAAAGCACTTATATTGAGTTACTCAAGGAGTTCAGGGATGTCTTTGCTTGGATCTACAAAGAGATGTCTGGCTTGGACCCGAAAGTAGCAGTAGATCACCTTGCCGTCAAGAATGGTGCTCGCCGTGTTAAACAAGCCCAAAGGCGCTTTAGGCCGGACTTGGTTCCCTTGATTGAAACCAAAGTTAACAAATTCATCGAAGTTGGCTTTATTCGTGAAGTTAAATACCCACCATGGGTTTCAAGTATTGTCCCTGTAAGGAAGAAGAATGGCCAGATTCGAGTGTGCGTCGACTTCAGGGATCTCAACAATGCGTGTCCCAAAGATGAATTCCCACTTCCTATTCCAGAGCTGATGATCGATGCTACTACTGGGTATGAGGCAATGTCGTTTATGGATGGTTCGTCAGGCTATAACCATATTCGCATGGCACCAAAGGATGAAGAGCTTACTGCATTCCACACCCCCAAGGGTATTTATTGCTAGAGGGTAATGCCTTTTGGCTTGAAAAACGCTGGTGCTACTTATAAAAGGGCTATGAAGAATATTTTTGAAGACCTTCTACATAAAAATGTCGAATGCTATATAGACGACTTGGTGGTAAAATCAAGAAAGAGAGGCGACCACTTGAAAGACTTGAGAATGGTGTTTGAGTTGCTCCAGAGGTACCAACTTAGGATGAATCCATTGAAATGCGCCTTTAGAGTTACTTTCGAAAAGTTCCTTGGTTTCATTTTCCGACATCGAGGGATTGAAATTGATCAAGCCAAAGTAGATGCAATCTTGAAAATGCTTGAGCCTCGGGATATTCACGAATTGAAAAGTCTGCAAGGAAAGTTAGCGTACCTTAGGAGATTCATCTCAAACCTAGCTAGGAGGTACCAACCATTCAGTCGCCTTATGAAGAAAGGTGTCCCTTTCAAATGGGACCAAGCATGTAGCAATGCCTTTGAGAGCATTAAATCCTACTTGATGAAGCCTCTAGTTTTAGCAGCCCCTATACTTGGAAAGTCGTTGATACTATATATTTCAGCATAAGAAAGGTTTGTTGGAGCGTTGTTGGCCCAAGAAAATAGTGAGGGAAAAGAAAACTCTCTTTACTACTTGAGCAGGATGATGACACCAAACGAGCTGAATTATTCGCCAATTAAAAAGTTGTGTTTGGCGCTAGTCTTCTCAATTCAAAAGTTGAAGCACTATATTCAGGCTCATGTTGTTCGTCTTGTTTCTAAAGCAAATCCCATCAAGTTCGTGATGTCAAAACCTGTTCTTAGTGATCGACTAGTGAGATGGTATCTCCAATTTCAACAATTCGAGATTTTGTACATCTCTCATAAGGCTGTAAAAGGACATGCATTGGCAGACTTCTTGGCAGATCAACCTATACCCGATGATTGGGAGCTAACTGATGAACTGTGTGATAAGGACGCAATGGTCAATGAAGTTCAACCTCCATGGAAGATATACTTTGATGGTGTTGCACATCGTGGAGGAGCTAGTGCTGGTGTAGTATTTGTCACTTCTCAAGGTGAAGTTCTGCCCTACTCTTTTACGTTGACACAACTCTTCTCAAACAACACTGTTGAGTATCAAGCACGAATACTTGGGCTTGAAATGGCTGTCGAAATGAAGCAGTTGTAATTGCAAGTCTTTGGTGACTCTCAGTTGGTGATCAACCAGCTTTTAGGTAGTTACGAGGTCAAGAAACCTTAACTACGCCCATATCATGATTATGCTAAAACATTAATGGGATGGGTCGGTGACGTTACTATTTAACATGGGCCAAGGAAAGAAAACAAGAAGGTTGATGTTTTAGCTGCCCTAGCTTCATCGTTAACCCTACCTGATCAAGCGCAAGTTACTGTCTGCAAAACATGGTTAGTATCGCCCCAAATGAGGTTGAAGGTGAAGGAAATAAACTCAAGCATCTTGTCGTTGTTTCTGAAGCTGAGAAAGAAGAATGGCGACAACCCATTATCGACTACTTAAGCTATGGGATACTTCCAGAAAATCCGAGGAGAAGGACTGAAATCCGTCGTCGTGCACCTCGCTTCCTTTACTACAAAGATACTCTATACATAAGGTCATTCGATGGAGTACTCTTGCGATGCTTAGGGGAAGAAGAAGCACTCCAAGCTTTGCAAGAGGCACATTTTGGGGTATGTGGGTCACACCAGTCTTGACCAAAGCTCCACTTCCATATATAAAAGATGGGATATTATTGGTCAGTGATGGTAAAAGATTGCTTAGACTACGCTCGAAGATGCAAGGCTTGTCAATTCCATGCGAATTTTATTCATCACTCTCCTGAAGTGTTGCACCCGACTGTTGCATCCTGGTCGTTTGACGCTTGGGGATTAGATGTTGTTGGACCACTGCCAAAGTCCTCTAGTGGGCACCTATACATCTTGGCTGCAACTGACTACTTCTCAAAATGGGCTGAAGTTGTTGCTCTTAAGGAAGTAAAGAAGGAAAATATTGCAAGTTTCATCCGAGTAAATATTATCTATCACTTTGGCATTCCTCGTTACATAATTACGGATAATGGCAAGCCGTTCGAAAATAGGTTGATGAACAAGATTTGTCAACTCTTTGGCTTCAAGAACATAACTCTTCTATGTACAATGTTGCCGCCAATGGTCTAGCCGGGGCATTCAACAAGACTCTATGCAACTTGTTAAAGAAAGTCATCTCCAAATCCAAACGGGATTGGCATGACCTTATGGAGGAAGCTCTGTGGGCATATGGGATAACTCACCTCACGCCAACACAAGCGACCCCTTATGCACTCATTTATGGAGTTGAAGCCGTCTTGCCACTCGAGCGTCAAATACCTTCATTACGATTGGCTATTCAAGAAGGGATCACTGATGAAGAAATTGCTCGACTTCGATTAGTAGAGTTGGAGGCTCGTGATGAGAAGAGGTTGGAAGCTCAACAGAGTCTTGAATGTTATCAAGTTTGATTGTCTCGCGCCTTCAATAAAAGAGTTCGCCCGAGATCCTTTCAAGTAGGAGATCAAGTCCTTGCCGTACAAAAACCCATGATTATTTCCCATAAACCTGTAGGGAAGTTCACTTCAAAATGGGATGGGCCATATGACGTACAAGAAACTTATTCAAGTAGGGCTTACAAGCTAGTTGATGCAGATGGCATGAGAATCGGCCCTATTATTGGCAAGTTTTTGAAGAAGTATTATCCTTGAAATTGCAACGCTCCTTGACACCTGAGCCTAAACTGCATGTTTCTACACTCCTAGCCCGCATGAGTCTAAACTATGTACGGCCCCCACAAAAAAAAAGTCTGCTAGGTTAAAAACCTCAAAAGAGGCGGCCTAGGAAAACGTTAGGACATATAAAAAAGAAGAAGAAAAAAATTAAAATAAAAAATAAAAAAAGAATAAAAATCACCCATTCTAAACTACGGTATGACTTGATCCTCTTTACCGAGGTACGTAGGCAGCTTAGAGTTTCATTCTGATTTCAGTCGCATAAGTTCAAAAGATACATAATCCCCCAATTGTTGTCCGAATGAAGTACGATGGAAAGTAATCCATTCAATCAGCACTTGAAAATCAAGCTAAGATACCATTCTTCTGCTAAATTTTAGATCCCATTTGATTTAAAGGGAGCAAGCCGCTATGGCAAATTGGTGTCTTCAATAAAATGATTAATCTCTTTTAGGAGGCTGCCAAGCATTTGTATTGAAGTCCGGGGATTCGCTATGCCTTCATGTTCACCAAACATTCAAGTTTTTTTGGTGAGCCTTCGCGACGTTTCAAATTCAGTAAGACTTGAACCCAAGACATTTTGTGAGAATGAAGCTCTTGAATTTCAATTTCTAACAATTAAAAGGGTCTAACAATCTCAGGGCTTCCGCACCAATATACAAAAAACATTTGGTGAAGTCGCGCTAATTTGGAACTGTCGGCATATCAGAAACCCAAGTCGGCTTCAAACTATCATTTGAAACTATCCTTAAGGCATTAAATTTTATATTTTGGATATGTTTTAGATTTTGAAGTTTAGTTTCCAAAAAATCAAACGGTTCGTGATTTCGATATCCCTACTTCAAGATACAAAACTTCTAGCGAAGTTACGCAAATCTGAAATCGTCGGTGTGTCAAAATTTAGTATTGACTTCGAAATATTATCTGAATCTATCCTTAAGGAATTAAATTTTTTATTTTGGATATGTTATTATTTCAAAAGTTAAGTTTCCAATAGATCAAACGGTTTGTGATTTCGATGTTCCTACATCAAGATACCAAAGTTTTGGTGAAGTCATGCAAATCTGAAATCGTCGCCGCGTCAAAATTTAATATTGATTTCGAACTATTATCTGATACTTTCCTTAAGGCATTAAATCTTGAATTTTGGATATGTTATAGATTTGCAAGTATAGTTTTCAAAAAATCAAATGTTTCGTGATTTTGACTTTTCTACTCCAAGATATGATGTTTTTGGTGAGACTGCACAAATCTAAAATTTTCAACATGGTAGAATTTAAAGTTGGTTTCAAAACAAAATATATTATCTGGGCTGATTCTGAAGGTGTTTGATTTTAAGTTTTGGATATATTTTAGATATTGAAGTCTAATCTTCGAGAAATCAAACGGTTCATTATTTGGACTCTCCCACGACAAGTTATGAATCTTTTGTTACAAGCGCGTAAAACTGAAAATTATACGACTAAGATAAAAGTCGGACAATGTAAAGCAAAAGAGAAGCTGAAATATTTAAGCCCTCGAAGTCTTCAAGTTCGTCGGTATTCAAGTTGAAGTCTCCAAGTTGAAATCTTCAAGTCCGTCGGTCTTGAAGTTGAAGTCTCTATGTTCGCCACTCTTCAAGTTGAAATATTTAAGCCCTCCAAGTCTCCAAGTTGAAGTCTTCAAGTCCGTCAGTCTTCAAGTTGAAATCTCCAAGATGAAATCTTCAAGTCCGTCGGTCTTCAAGTTGAAGTCTCCACGTTCGCCACTCTTCAAGTTGAAATATTTAAGCCCTCCAAATCTTCAAGTTGAAGTCTTCAAGTCTGCTAATTTTTCAAGTTGAATTTTAAAAGTCAACCACTCTTCGAGTTGAAGTCTGCAAAGTCCGCCAAATCTTCAAAGTTTTTCAAGTGTTCAAGTCAATGTCGTCAAGTCGATGTCGTCTTCGAGTTGAAGCTTTATAACTTTTCAATCTTAAGGTGGACATATAAGTCCATTTGTACCTTAAGTTGTCCTATTCGTGGGTTTGTCCTTAAAAGGAACTATAATTTTTATTGAGAGTAATCTCTCCGTTAGTCGGGCCACATTGAAAGTAATCTCTCCAATAGTCGGGTCATTTTGAGAATAATCTCTCTAGTAGTCGGGCCACATTGAGAGTAATCTCTCCGGTAGTCGAGCCACACTGAGAGTAATCTCTCCGGTAGTCGGGCCACATTGAGAGTAATCTCTCCGGTAGTCGAGCCACACTGAGAGTAATCTCTCCGGTAGTCGGGCCACATTGAGAGTAATCTCTCTGATAGTCGGGTCATTTTTTAGAGTAATCTCTTTGGTAGTCGAGCCACATTAAGAGTAATCTCTCCGGTAGTCGGGGCCATATTGAGAGTAATCTCTCCGGTAGTCGATCCACAATGAGAGTAATCTCTTTGATATTCGGGTAGAGATGAGTACTCATCCCCTCACACCCTATGATTGCCTTCTTCATGCGTGGATCATCTTTTTAAACAAGAACATATCATTCTTGTTTGACCTAAAAAAAAAAAAAAAAAAAAAAGACAGAAAAGGGAAAACGCAGAAAAAAGAAAATTCACCTGTCAACGACGGTTTGGCTTGAGCACAATGCGAATTGATACCGCAATTAAAAGAGGATGATGCTTTATATAGAAAGCAAAGGTCTATATTGACCCAGGGTTGTTTCGATGTGGGATATGTTATTTGCAGGCAGTCTCCTAATTGAGATGGGTAATGAACGATGGTTGTGCACGTAATCATCGATATGCGGCTGGCGTAGAGTTCTCTTTTGCATAGGATAAGGAATTCTACATGCTCTTTATTTCCAGGTAGTGACAAATAGTGAAAAGAAAGTATGCCGTTTGTAAACCTATGATATTTTCTTGGACAATGAAATATTTGCTCGGTTTTTGTTCAAAAGAAAAAATGAATTAGAGAAAGGCAAATTCAAATGGAAAGTCAAGAACGTATGACATTTTAGTCATCCACGTGTGTCATGACAAAAAGAAACAAGTTGCTACTTTCCAATTGGCTTCGAGACTATCTAATCAAGCATGTAGTCTCCTAATGCTTCATTGATCATATGCAAAATGTTTTTGACGTCACAAACACGTTAACTTCCAAAATGTTAAAGGTTGAAGTTTGGTGGCTTCGGGCAATCAGTTTGATAAGCAAATTGCAACTGGCTCGCTGTCGAGTATATATACTTCTAGCCTAATCTTCAAAACTTCAAAAAAAAAATTGTAGGCATATAAATTTTATTGGAATTAAATTTATAAAATAATTGAGACTATATTTTAAAGATATATTAGTTCAAATAAATTTATTGGGCTAATATAATTGGATTAATTATAAGTCCAATACATATGGATTAAATAAATAAGTCCAAATTCATTGGGCTTGCCCATTTAATTGGGCTAAAGTGATGAGCTCACTTCATTAAGCCCAAAATGTCATTTTTCTAGAGGCCCAGTTTGGTGCCACGTGTCAAATGATGTGGCACGCCATGTCAAACAAAAGAGCCAATAGGATCGTGCCACGTGTCAAAATGACAAGGCATGCCAAGCCAAATTAAAAAGCTAATGAAACCGCGCCACGTGTGCAAGTGACATGTTCTGGCCAATCAAATGCGGCCTTGTCACACTTCAATTTGATTAGTCGGAAAGAGTTTGTTCTTATCATAACTCTTCCCTCCCACAACTATAAATAGGGGTCTTCATAACCCAAAAAAGGAACCATAACTTATAACAAGAAGCAAGAGAGAGCTCGTGGATCAAACGCCGCAAATTTCTCTACAAGTTTCAAGCTTCAAGCAATCAAGTTCAAGTTCAAGAAATCAAGTTCAAGCTCAAGAACGAAGAACAAGTCAAGATTCAAGGAGCACGAGTTCAAATAAAAGTTCGTACTAGTTGAATTCAAGATCATCGTTCGTGGAAACAAATATAGATTCAGGATCAAGCTCAAAGGCCCTTAAATTTATTTACTATTGGAAAGAAGAATTAGAGGATTTATAGAGATTGTACACTCAAATTATTTTAAATCAAATACTACGATTGTTGCGATATTTTTCAGTCTTGATTATTTTCTCGACGCAATTTATTGTCTACACTATGGTTCCAAAATTATGATACGGGTCTAATGCTTCAATCAAACCAAATATTGGAGCCTATTTGCTTAATGTGGTACTATTTATGTTTGAAGAAACGACGTCGAAACATCAAAAACGAGCGCAACACAACCCAAACATATCCAAAACTCACCCGAGCCCCTCGGGACCTCGTCCGAATATACCAACAAGTCCCATAATATAACACGGACTTACTCGAGCCCTCAAATCACGCATAACAACATCAAAACCATGAATCACATCTCAAATCGAACTTAATGAACTTTGAATCTTTCAACTTCCAAAACTCGTGCCGAACCTTATCAAATCAACTCGGAATGAACTCAAATTTTGCACATAAATGACATAACGAAGCTATTCCAATTTCTGGAACCACAATCTGAACCCGATATCATCAAAGTCAACTCCCGATCAAACTTATGAACATTCCAAACTTTTAAATTTTCAACTTTCGCCAAATAGTGTTGATACCTTCTAGAAATATCAAAATGCAAATTCGGGAATACGCTCGAGTCCAAAATCGCCATCCGGACCTAACGGAATCATCAAAACTGTGATCCAAGGTCAAGTACTAAAAAGTCAAACTTGGTCAATTTTTCCAACTTAAAGCTTCCTAGTTGAGAATCATTCTTTCAAATCAATTTCGAATAACCTGAATACCAAAACCGACGATTCACACAAGTCATAATATGTCATACGATGTTGATCAAGACTTCAAATGGCTTAACGGAATACAAATACTAAAATAACCGGTTGGGTCATTACACTACAACCCTAATGCGCGACCTCTACACCTTCCTATCAAGGGACATGTCCTCGAAAATCTGAAGCCACGCCACGTCTTGTCTGATGACCTCTCCCCAATATTTCTTAGGCTGTCCTCTACCTCTTCTCGTACTCGGCAAAACCAACCGCTCACACCTCCTTACCGGGCCATCCCGGCTTCTCCTCCGTACGTGCCTGAACCATCTAAGTCTCGCTTCTCGCAATGCAATATATTAAATATTTGATTAATTAGTTTTATACAAATTATTAATTAGTATTTATTTAATTCTATGATTTATACGTTATTTTTTAGATTTAACGATAAAAATTTGGGAGAGTATCCTTTGTACTGACAACTATCCAGATTTTTAATTCATCAGTTATAGAACTCTATATTATTTAATTGTTGAACTTATTGGGATATCTTAAAATAGTTAATTAATTAATTAGATACGAAGTATTATTTATTATTTAATTAATCTGTCACGCCCCAAAATAGATTGCGGTGTGACCGGCACTTAGTATTTATCAACTTGCACCGAGTAAACCATTTGATTACGTACCAACTCATGCCGATGTGATCTAATCCATTTAATTAGCAATAACATTAAACGAATAAAGTGAATTAAATACCATTTGAATTAGAGTACGTCATATCATGAGTCAAGACATGATACCCATAAACCAAAATATTATACAGTTCATTTATGGAGCCTCTAGGATCCTATGTGTCACGACCCGTAATTTCCATCATCGGGACCATGATGGTGCCTAACATTTCACTTGCTAGGCAAGCCAACTTTAGAGAATCATTAAACCAATCCTTTTTCCATTCAGTAAATAACAGCAAATTAGCTAAGATGAAATATAGTGAGTGCGGAATAATATAAAAACTGCATTAATTACTACCACCCGGATCTGGAGTCACAACTCACGAGCTACTATGATTTACTACAAACATAGTCTAAAAAGGAAAAAAAAATACACTATTTTGAAGTAAGGAAACAGTAAATGATAAAACTAGAAAGAGACTCCAGGGTCTGCGGACGCCAGCAGATCTACCTTTGGTCTCCTGACAGTAAATCCAAGCTGCTAAGCCTCACGATCAGCTAGGACTGGTACCAAAATCTGCACAAGAGGTGCAGAGTGTAGTATCAGTACAATCGACCCCATGTACTGGTAAATGTCGAGCTTAACCTCGACGAAGTAGTGACGAGGCTATGACAAGTTACCATTTTAATAAACCTGAGCAGATAACAGTATATGTACAAGAAAATAACAGTAACAGCTAAATATGTACTATTAGGAGGGGGACATGCTAAAAGGGCACAAGATATAGGAGATACAGCGGAAATGATAACCAGAACAGTCAACATACTTTTAACTAGAGAAAAACAACTAAACACAATGAAGAAAATTGAACGGCATCACCCTTCGTGGCTTTACTCTCAACCTCACAATATAAATCAATAGATACGGCACGACATCACCCTTCGTGCATTAACTCTCATAACGTGGTACGGCATCACCCTTCGTGCATTAACACTCATAATATGGCATGGCATGGCATCACCCTTCGTGCATTAACACTCACAATATGGCACGGCATCACCCTTCATGCATTAACACACTCTCTTACCATAATGCAATGAATAAATAACAACAGGGAGATGGAATAACAAGTACAAGCCTTACTTCAACATTTAGTTCCACAATATCAACCTCAGCTTCGAAATCAATACTCAATTATCACCAGAAAATCCGTAAACATGATAAGAACGATCAATTTAACAATACTAGTCCAAACACGGACAACATGAACAAAGAAAGCTATAATTGCAAGAAACCAAGCCCCCACCCGCATGCTTTAACCCGACTATAACGTATAAGTACTCGTCACCTCACATATACGTTGTTCCCCAACATCTAAACATGTAAAAAATAGACAAACAAGTCACATTCCCTCAAGTCAGGGTTAGACACAACACTTACCTCGTTCCAAAGGTCACTCAATGCTTAATTACCACTTTTCCTCTAGAATTCACCTCCAAACCACTCGTATCTATCCACAAACGACTCAATAATATCAAATATTACTAAAGAAATCAATTACAATGCATGAATTAAGATTCCCCAAGCTTTCCCCCAAAAAGTCAAAAATCGACCCCGAGCCCGCTTGGTCAAAACCCGAGGTTCGGACCAAAATCCATTCACCCATTCACCCCCGAGCCCGATTATATAATTTATTTTGAAATCCTACCTCAATTGGAGGTCTAAATTCCAATTATGCAAAAATCTCTAATTCTACTCAAACCCCCAATTTCCATCATGAAAATCCTAGATTTTAGGTTGAAAACTCTTGAAATGTAATGTGTAATTGAAAGAAAGTAGTTTAGAATCACTTACCAACACTTTGGGGAAGAATTTAGCTTGGGAGAATCGCCTCTGTGTCGTTTGGCTTTTGAAAAGTTGAAAGAATGGCTTAAGTCCCGTAATGGGACTATTTAATAGTTGGGTGACAGTGTTTATCGCGTTCGCGAGGACAGTGTCGCGTTCGCGAAAAGCAGAGCTTGCCAAGCTTACGCGATCGCGAAAATCCTATCGCGTTCGAGAAGGTTACGCCCCCTGGCCTTCGCGAGTCCTTGATCGCGTTTGCGATGAAAAGTGACTGACCCCCTCCCCCAGGTCTCTATCACTACATGTTCGCGTTATGCTGGTCGCGTTCGCGAAGGGTAAAGTCCCCATCTCTCCGCGTTCGCAAAGGGTAAAGTCCCCATCTCTCCGCGGTCGCGAAGAAGCAAAATTCAGCCAACCCAGTTTCTACTACGCATTCGCGAACGCGAAGAAGGAAACCAGAAGGCACTGAAACGGCAGAAACCAAATTTTTCCTAAGTCCAAAACATCCCGTAGCCTTTTTGAAACTCACCCGAGCCCTCAGGGCTCCAAACCAAATATGCACACAAGTCTAAAAATATCATACGAACTTGATCGCACGA